GGTGTCGAGCGGCAGTCATGGAAAACATACAGTCAGTGATGAGATGATAAGGAGGAGGCCGGGGTGCGGACGCTGGGATTCACTCCTGGACTGGTCGTGGTGGTTGGTTGCTGAGGGGGACAGAGTCAGAGAAACAGTTAATGGGAGACTGTGCATTGACCTGCGTGGTGGAGTGATGTGGAGTTGAGGAGGTCCGTGGTCCGGACAAACGATAGCGGCTGGGAAGATAAGACATGGGGCACAAGGCAGGAACGGAGCTGGGATGAAGAGCTTGAGCAAATATATATAGTGGACAAAATAATAGATCGGCATAGAAACGGGCTAGAGTATATAAAGAACTGGCAGGGAAGTGGACGATGAGCACGGTATAAATAGGAAGAAACTAATCAGGTGCAGCTGGTGGTGAGTCAGGGGACGTGAAGCAGGTGTGTCAGATAAAGAAATCAGGGGTAAGGGAGCTAAAATAGAGGGAGAGAAGTGAGAGAGGCAGGTGCAGCCGGGCAAACCTGACAGTTTGTCATGCTGACGACTTTCATTTTAACTAGGTTGAGTTTTGATTCTGAATTCCATGAAACCATAGCCATATAATGAGAGCAAATTGTCATGTTTGTTCTATTCCTTCATTAAATTATTCAGTCATTTTAATCGCTGGAGAAATTTGAAAAGCAGGTAGTGATTCAGAGGTCTAGAAGCTGTCTTATTTATGTGAGTAATGCTAAAAGTAGCATTAATGCATTGATACATTTAAACATGACAGAACATGCAAAAAATTGCGAAGAGGAAGATCGATGCCACTGTCTGTGTGTGGAGTGGCGTGCAGCATGCATTTGAAAATGGTTGACACAAAAAGTATAGAGGAGTTGTGGTTAAGGTGCTAAATTTTACAAACACACCAGTATGTCCTTTACACTAAGAAGCTTATGTGGAACACTGCAAGGTGAAACAGCAACACAGTACAGTACAATGTATTTTATGTCTGTCTGCGAACAGAGTTCCCTGATGACTAAATGTCCCGTCATGCCAGGCAGAGCTCTGAGTGTGTGCAGTATGTAGGTTGGCAGTGACTCTCATGCTGCTGGAAAGAGACATCGGTGCTGAGCTGGTCCAGCCTGGTAAGAATTCCCAGTTCTGCTAATTAAAACGCTGTTATAGACAGAAGCCCCTGAGCTGGCACTACCCAGAGTGCCGGCAGTGCTAATTGTGCAGAAATTCTGTCTCAGGTATCAGTGTCTTCTATGCCCTTAGATCATGCTGGCCTTGAATAAAAATTACAGCTTGATAAAGTACCTCTTGTCTCTAACTAAGATGCCGTTTCCAGAGGACTGTGCTAGCCTTTCCAATTAGAGGCCCAAAGTTGTCAAGAGTCAGAGGGAGATGGTAGATGGTAGGGAGGGGGGAATGTGAAATTTAAGACAGTATTGTGTTTGGATAAAATGTGACCTTATCTTAAAAACAACACCAAAATAATAAATACTCTGGTAGTGTAATTAAAGTGCATGGAATGTGTAGGCAGGTTTTACATTTATAATAAATATTTTTTAAATGTCTGCTTACTCATGAGAGACCCGAGAGCCTAATATACTGATGAACTCGAACAGTAAATCATGAGATTATACTCATTGTTTTGTATTTTTGGAGATCTAATGGCACTGTAATTCTTCTCTTAACATGTTTTGCAAACACTATTAGCAGCACACAACTGCTTGATTCTATACTGTAGTCAGTCAATGCTTAGAGTACTATAAATATATTTAAACTGTTAAATTATTTTTTTTGCTTTCATCTGAGTCTGAGTTTTCATCTTAGTGAACTATATTGTGCAATTCAGCATCATTGTGTTCAGTGATGATGTTTACATACATACTTGTGTACATAAAGACATGCACCATAAAAGCATAAAGTCTTTATAAAAACATACGGTCCTGTATACAGTATAGGAAGGGCCATCAAACAGAAACTGCATTTCTGGTACAAAATAACTCAGGCTGAAATTATAGTCCTGCAAAGATTCATATTATGCTCTCTGCAGGTATAAGCAGAGACCGGTATACTGTAGGTCAGAAAGGCTTATAGCGGACGTGACACACACGTCTCCCAAATACAAGTTTACATCTTACAAATTCCATTTTGATAAGTGTTTTTATAATGTATTGCCCTTTTACGAGAGATGAGAAAATGATGCTCCAATTCAATCAATCAAACACACAGACCTTTAATTCCACAGTGAAGGGATCAAAACAGATTTGTGAAATGGTCAAACACCAGTGAATGTTTAGTGCCATATGGACCGTACTGAAAAGCTTGTTTTGTTTATATTTGCGAAGTCAAATTTTCCAGTTGGGTTTAAAGGAAAATCCAAGAGTCGTTCAGAGCTGTGGAACAGTTATTGCTGTCTGTCTACTTTCAGTTTTCATTTAAACATAGTCATTTTGAAACTCATACCCAGCCCATCCCAGCTGCCAGTGGGTGAGAAGCAGGCAGCCCAGTGGCACAAACCCCCCAAATTTATCCTTTCAAGTTAACTTGGACAAGAAAATGTTCACCCTCTCTGTGCAACTATCTGTAACTCTCCATGCATGTCTGCAGGGTTCCTACTCACGACCAGAGGGAGCTCCTGCCTTGTGTGATGACCCCTGTGAACTTTGTCAGCCTCCTGGCGTCCACCTCGAACCACTGCAGTGGGTCATTCCTTCCAGCGCACCAGGCGCCATCATAGAGGTCATCTTCATGAAGGCCAGCCTGTAGGCCAGAAACAGCAGAGCCATATCCCACATGTACATGTTAACTCACATACACACACACACACACACTTTTATGAATGGCACAACACACTGACTGGTGGAGATAATGAAATATGCAAAAGTCAACAAGACTGAGATGTTGACATTTAATCGTCTGATAATCTAAAATATGCTGTAAGATTAAAAAAAGGTGTCTTCTAACAGAATGACGACAGCATATCAACAATGAATTATATAAAACTGATTCTAAAGGGAATGAACAAGGACAAAGCGGAGCCAGTTGAGTTCCAGGAATGAATGCAGGATACATCTGTGAGACAGGGCTGTTAGAGCCTCTTTCCAAATCCCAGCATTCCTGAATTTTCTGCAACAGTTTTAGCACATATTTTACTGGGGTAACATGGAGACACACTTTATTGACACTTGCTTAGTTTGACAAGAAATGCTTCTCAGTTCATAAAGATCGACTCAGAGTGAGATCTGTGAACAGTCACACACATGCAATATGCTCAAAGGCCTCACTGCTCATCTTGTTCATCCAAAATAAAAAATTAAGATGACACTTTTATATACATGTGAAACTGTTAAAGGTTTAGTGAACTATATTGTGCAATTCAGCATCATTGTGTTCAGTGATGATGTTTACATACATACTTGTGTACATAAAGACATGCACCATAAAAGCATAAAGTCTTTATAAAAACATACGGTCCTGTATACAGTATAGGAAGGGCCATCAAACAGAAACTGCATTTCTGGTACAAAATAACTCAGGCTGAAATTATAGTCCTGCAAAGATTCACATTATGCTCTCTGCAGGTATAAGCAGAGACCGGTATACTGTAGGTCAGAAAGGCTTATAGCGGACGTGACACACACATCTCCCAAATACAGTTTTGAAACATTTCTGTTACAATTATGTATGTGCAATCTCAGTGTCCTCTAGTATTCCATTTGTTTGTGCTTTTGTGCACTGTGGCTACCAGTGTCGAAGAAGTTCGATTCATCCCAGTTCTTTTGGTGTCTGGAATCTAAACAAACTGTAACCACTACAGCAATAAACCAAGTTCACTGGCCTCAGGCCCGATTCAACAAGCACCATCTGGTTCTGATGTGTTTTTCTTTATTTACATATAATTGGTCCTTAAAAGGGACCCTGCCTTTGTCCCTTTGTGATCCCTGACAGACACGTACAGTACACAGGGCTGCACACACACCAAACAACTAATCCTTTGTTTTGTTGGTTTCCAAAAACATAAAGTGCTGTTGTCTTGAATGAATTAAGACCATGTGTATGTGTGTCATTAATTGTGTAGTGGGATTCAGAGCAATAGAATCAGTAGAAGATGAGGTTTACTGCAGATTATATGCAGGCTAATACCCTCAGAGCACAGCTTGCACTAACAAGAAATACTTCTTTCCCAGTTTTCCCAGATGCCACTACTTTTTATTAGGTTTGTAGACGTGTCCCTACTTTGATGGCAACACTATTACTTTCTCTGCTTTGGGATATTAAACAATTCTATGAGCTGAAATACAATAATAGTATTGTCCACATTTAATTGAGGAAAAGATACAACATTTTCAATGCAACTTGAATGTTAACTAAGACTAAAAGAATCTCAGTCATATTTCTTTTATACTGCTGCTTTGCAGAAATAAATCACTCAAGAAAAGCAAAACAAAACAAAACATTAAAGCTTCCAGGGAAAGATGAAATTGTCCAAGTTCTAACATTTCTGGTAAGGTTTCCCTAGCAACATCAACACTTTACATTTACCTGAATATTAAGACGACCTCTGTGTGCACCAAGGCCGTAACGTTTCGTAGTTGAAGCATGAAGCTGGAAATCATCAATCTTCAGTGTCTCCAGTCCCATGGGAGGGCATTCTAGGTAACAAGCATGACAAATTAGCCTGTGAAGGTGGTGTTATGTATAATGCTTTGCACTGCTCCAGGAGCAATGCATTCTGCACAGTATGTCTCCTCAGTCAGTATTTGTTAATAGTAATGAGTAATTCCGGGTGCACAGTGAGCTCAAATGTGTTAAGTAAACAAGACATCAGATGCATTCTGTGTTTATCACTGAGATCTAATAATACTGTACTGTAGATGCAATGTACAGAAAACATAAGGCAGTCAACACATAGAGAGCTGGAACAGTTTCATTCCAGTCAATGACAAAGGCACAGTGGCAGTGCACAAGTCTCCCTGCAGCTAATTTGATCACCTGCAGCACCCACATCACATTTTGAGCTTGAAGGGGGAAAGATAAAGACAGTTTATCTAGTGTTTTACTCTGGAGTGTAAACACTTAATCTTCTCAAAATCATGAGAAATCAAAGTAAAATGATGAGCTTGTGTGAACAAAATAGCAAATGTGTCAGGTTTCATGGGATTAATGGCTGTACATTTCCTAGTAATTTTGAAATGCTCACTTATCACGGCCGTCTAATTGCACCCTGAACCATATCAGTCATTAAGGATTTAGATTTTATTATTTTAATCAGTTTTATTATTCTTAGAACATTGATCACCTACATTTACTTCACACAGCCGAGTGTGTACTATGGACTCTAAACCAATCCAATCATTGTAAAATGGGATAAAGTGAAAAACAGGTCACAATCATTAAAAAGTTGTTTAGTCCTTTAAAACTTTTTGCTGTACTATATCCTGATGACATCACTATGACATCACCAGCTTTATTTGGGCTATTTCCTCAGACTTGACTTTCAGGCTTGTCTCCACCATCTGAATAGCACCCCCCACGACTAGCAAACAGAACGCTGGGTTAAATGAGTGATGTCCCCTGAAAACGCTGGACAACCTAAGTGGAGATGGTTACAGCTGTGCAGCACACTGCTGTATGTGATGCCTAGGAGTGCCTGTAGTGTGTAACCTTCATGTTTTGCTCTAGGCGTGTTGCATGGTTCCATGTTTAGTCATGAAATGAAGTCAGAAATGTCACAATGCAAACAATGGTTGACTTAACAGAACATGCCTTCTAGTTACAGTTTTTTGTTTGTTTGTTGCTTTGCTATGGTTAAGTCTTTCTGAAGGAGTCTGCCAGCAGCATAGGCTCAATACTAGATTGTTTGCAGCACAAATTAAGTTGTATCCAGTATGCAATAGTTTTCTTCAAGTAAAGTTGGGTGATTTTAAGCTTAATGATCTTAAGCTGCCACAGTATATGATTCTTAATGTCTTAAACCCTAAAACAAATAAAACTGTTGTTAATTTATTCAGTTATTTTAACTTAATGGCTCCTATTTATGTTATATTATAGTAAATGTTTTAGAACATCCTCAGACCAAACTAAAGGTCATGCTAAATTTACTGTGCAATGAGTCACATAGTTCATAGCTTTACTGGCGGTACTGACAGTGGCAGTTAGCAGTATTCAGTCCAAATGCCACAGCAACGGTTTGGCAAGGAATGCAGTTGTATTCCAGGCGCTCTGCCTTTATTTGGGAAAAACACGATGCTGAAAGGGGAAAGCTGCACATAACTTAAAATATTTTCATTTGCTGTTTGAGAGAGTTTGCAGTTTATCTGAAAAGGTTCCTGCCTTTAAAGAACTGTAGAAATTGAGTTGCTGTTCACTAAATAGAGCTGTTTGTGTGAGACTGGATCATTTTTTACACTACAATGGATATTTCCCAGTGAGGGCCAAATAGGTAAATCGAGCTTGATGTATGAAATCTCTGCTGCCCAAGGTCAGATCAAGCTGTTTACAGCTTACCCTCGACCACAACGATGGAATTTCAAAGCAAGAATTTCTGACTGGTACCAGTCTGTTTGTATAAACAGCATATGTCCCACATGTTGCTGTCAGACAGCCAGGAATGGCTTCCTTTACAAATGAACACCAAGAAGTGTTCATTTGTAAACCCAGACAAAGGAATTTTCAGAAACACTGTGAATCTGGAGATATGCATGTGAAGTTGGACAGTAAAGTAAATATTGATGCATAAGGAAAACTAGCTCTGCATTGTAAAACCATCCCAACAGTCTGATATGTCTGAGACACTGAAGATCATCAGTCACATGCACCAAGACTTTTAGAGAAGTCACAGAGTAAGAAGATGAACAATAAAAATGTACACATCATGAGACAGGTTACACTTTACACTGAAGCCTAAAAGTTGATTCACAAACCAGAGACAAAGCCAAGACCAGTTAGCAATCTACAGAAATCTACCCTGTATGCAAATATTTAAAATCTTTTTGGAATTAATCACACATAGTCTAAGTCCACAGGCTTTCTGAATAAAGCAATCAAAACATATGAGGGGCCACCCAGCCCTCTAAGCAGCCCAGAGGATCAAGGTGAGCAGGCCAGACAAAAATAGATGAGTCTCTGCCATGTTGCAGAACTGTAAATCATCACCATCTGCATGCAATCCTTTCCAAGAAGACCCACACAGGAACACAGCATCTGGCTTCAACAATAATCAGTAATAGAAATGAGAAAACCAAGTGTCAAGGCTTCATACCTAGGCCACTTGCCATGTTGCTGCTGAGGGCCCAAACCAAATCTCAGATCAAAATTTAATCTGGCTTTTTTCACAATTTCTTATTTCACATCTGGTAGTAAAGTACTGAAATACCTTTGGTGTATGATTTATTCATTTTAAAGTGTTTGTGTACAGTAGGCATTTCACTGCTTCCAAACAGAGCCTCTGGCCCCTTTTAATCTGTTTTTCAGATTTTACAGAAAGAACCTGCGCTATGAGTTTGTTAAATTTCCTTAAATTCTAAAATGAATGTCCTATTGGCCCAGAATCTCAGGAGCCAAGACCGTGTTATTTCTTTATTCAAAAGTACAGTCTTGCTTTAAAAGGAAAATAACATTAATCATCATTACACATCATCAGACAGCTGCGCAACAATCCTTGATCCAATTTTTACTTTTCCACAACCCTGTCTTTCAAGAACTCACTACCATTTTATCATCCCCAGCCTTTGCAGCTTGACTGCGCACACGTGACAAACTGTGATATCTCAGCAGAAACATCTTGTTTAAATAAATTCTGTTAAGTCTGATGGGAGTAATGAATAAGCAGCTGAAACATCCACTGAATTAAACTTTGAAAATCCCTGCTGGTCTTAGATCTCTGTTTAAAAAATTCCCTATTGTTTTGGTCTGTGTGGATGTGCCAGGCACTGACAGGAAGCTAAACGCTTTCTAAAGCTGAATAATAGAGCTCATGAGTTTATGAGTTCTACACTGTTGAAGCCCTCAAAGTGTGGCTATGATAAATCTGCTGTTTCCAGGATACGCTGAAACAAATTCAGAAAACAGATTGGTATTGAGTCAGCTATGAAAACATGATTTTGGAAGTTTAAGGCACCCAGATCTCAAATGTGTGGGCTGCTTTATGCCAGGCGTGTCGCCATATACTTCCCATTTTCCTCCATGCAAGAATATCCAAGTTTCTGCTCTGGTTCCCTGTGCCAAATTAAAAATGGCAGACTTTCTGTCTGTCTCAGTAGATGTCTTTCAACAGCTTCACCATAAAAACGTAAATTCAACACAGGCCACCACAGCCACTCATAACATTATTAAATACAGCTTCCTGTTATGCTAGAAATGTCTGACACTGTGTGTTTAAGAGTAATCGCGGCAATATGTGCACGTGCAGCGCTGTGGAAAGTCTGAGATCAAAGAAGATCCACTTTGCTTTTACGTTTTCAGTCTAGCAAGTTTAATCTGTCATCTGATATGACAGGAAGGCTACTGGGGCATCCTGGCCTCAGTTAGCAACTATACTGTGAGCCGTGGAAACCAAACACAATGTTTCATAGGCAAAGAGGACAGTGAGCCGTGGAAACCAAACACAATGTTGCTTGTCTCTGTTGCTTGACTTCACATCTGAGAGCATCATCTTATACTGCCGGACTTTTCCTCCTAGGGAAAATATGTGTTCTGAAAACTCTTCCCTTTTCCAAAATATTTGTCATCTCTGAGAGAGTTTGTTTTTTCCCCTCTGCCTAACAACTCCTGTGAAATTAGAGAAATGGCTCCTGCACCTTGGAGGGAAAATGACTGTGTATGAGATCATAAATTTCCCACAACAAGTGAGAGTGGCATCAGTTCCTCACTCACCCACTTTTATGGAGTTGTATTGTCCTCCTTCCGAGATGCCATTTGACGTTTTCAGGATGTTCTTCTTGTTCTTCTCTGTCTTTTTGTTGGGTGTTTTCACTGATGAAAGACATTACAATAATACATAGGAATTTATATATATTGTCTAGAACTGTAAAAGGTTGAATCACTTTTAAATTAGCAGATTTATTATTGTCAGCATAGAGAAGAAAAAGTAACAGTGCTGACAAAGAAACAAAGCTCTGGTTGGATTCGGTCCTACACATATGGATACAAGATTGGGGACTGAAGCAACAGACAGTCCCTGGGCACGGAATTTGAAAACTTTTAACTCTTGTGCTCCAAGTAAATGCCATGCATTCAAACAACTGTTAGTGGTAACATGGAGTCAGCATTACAAATCATGAGTGCTTTAACATGTACCAATGGTTGGAAATACGCACATACACATATGAAGATATGTGGTTTTCCATCTTATATGAACATTTTGGAATCACTCAAAAATCTCTAAAGCTGCCAATACAAGTTTTTTTCACCACACAAAAATGGGAAAATTTAGTTTTTGAATAGTAACAATAATGAATATCCAAATTTGAAAGATATCTTAACCTTGTTACTCTAATTTTGGACCATCATTTTTATATTTTCATATCAGTTGAGGGTCAACATGCTTCACTACAGGTTGAGGAAGCTCTTTCCTTCTCAACAACAAGGCATTTTGTTGTTTACCTAACATCAGCAGAGTTAAATTGAATCATAATCTGCATAGTAATTAGCTGTCAAACAGATACTATAAATGTAATGTCTGGTCATTTGATCTATTATTATGATTAGTGTAGCTTTAAGTGCAGTACTTGAATTAATCTATTTAGCAGTGGTTAAGCCTCCACAGTTTGATCTATTGTCACCTAAAACACTGAAAATAATTTTATATGAAATTCCTTAAAGTCAGGAAATTGTTTTGTTAATATGATGCAGTGTGGCAGCAGTGGCTTCTGGATATTTCACGGTTAATCCAAGATATTCCTCCTTTGGTCCCACCTGCAGCAGGTATCCCCGCTGAGACACATGAAGCCAGATGCCTGAAACATGAGGTCACTGTCGACACAGCTGCTTTAAATTATCTGCCATCGATCAACAAAAATCCTCGCATTTCTGACTGTCCTCCAATCACCTGGGGGGATTTCAAACATACCTGCTACTGCATGTGCTGAAAGTTTCACAGAAAGAGAGCTTTTAGCTGTACAGCTCTTTGCAGAGGCTACTATAACGGGACAACACTGCCATGTTTTGCTGCTTTTGGGAAAACATGGATTTCACGTGTTCTGGCTCCCACTTGTAATGCGGTCCCGACCTCTACCATGTGTGAGGCTATTAATCCTTCTACTGTGCTCGCGTCACACTGAAGCATGGCTCTGATCTATATGTACAATGCAAGGGAGTGAGGAGGAGGACTACCTGAGGAGGTGGTCGTTGTTGTTGTTTTTCTCTGCACATCCATCACCATGTAAATTAAATTCAGATGTTCCTCTGAGGTCCCAGAGGAAACCAAGGTTCAATCTCATGGCTCAAATTTTCCATTTGAATTCATCAGACAAGTGTGAGAAAATATAATTAACCTGTTCTGAACAATACTAAGTTGTACTTTGTCATTTATTTTTAGTTTTCTTCAAACTTGTCTTAGAAAGCTGAAATGATTAGCCACACACTGTCATCTAGTGGCAACACAGACAGGTTATTTCATAAGTTTTTAACAGAACTTTAGTTTTAGATGCTGAACAAACCTCTACTGTCAAAATATTGTATAACATCTTGTAACATTTAAAACAAAAAAGTAAATACTGCTCATTTACTGCATTTGCACAGGTATGATGATTTTGTGCAGGGTTTCTAGAAAATGAATAAGGTTTTTCCAATAAATACACAAGAGATCTTGAGATTGTAAGAAGAGAAACACTTTCTCAAGTTGTCCTGATGAGCAATGGCAGTGCTTTTACCTGATTTTGCATTAGCTTTGATTTGATCCTTCTGCCTGCTGCTATCTGCCTTTCCTTTGGGCACCTTCTTGGCAGGGTTTTGGCTTGGGTGCTGATGTCTGTGAGTTGCTGAGGCCACAGGCTTCTCTTGGATTTGGACTTGGTTATACTGTTCTCTTGTCAACAGCTCCTGCATGTAATAATCCTCATCCTCACCAACAGAGACATGGCTGAGATCTGCAAGCTCCATAAAGAGTCCCAGCAGAGCCAGGGAGGTAAGGAGGTTGAAGTGCTGTCTTGTCATGACCCAGGGGATTATCTCCTGCTGAGCGTCCCGATGCAGTCTCCAGAGGAGCTTGCTGCTGCTGCTGGGCTGTGTCCCATCAACTGCTCCCCTTCCACTCCCTTCCCACTCCAATACCGAGAGAGCTCACAAAGTTCTCAGAGCACTCCAAGTCACTGACGAAAGCCGTGGAGCCAGAGGGTCCATGAACGCCTCAGCCTGGGAAAAATACAGTGAGGGAGGGAAAAACTCAGAGAGCAGGAGATGAGGGAGAGGAGAGGGAAGAGGCAGGGAGACAGGCAGGACAGTTCTCTACTTTGGTTGATGGCAGGTGGCACAAAAATAAATCTTTTTTCTCCCTTTCTTTTAGATTGAAACCAGTCCAGGCTGCTGACACATTGCAAAATCATTTATTGGTGTGGGCAGAAGTGAAATAGAGGTAGAAACCTCTCTGGGAAGCATACAGTGACAGGATTTGCTTTCATCTCCATCTCCTCCCACTATGTCTGGGACAAGCATAGCTTTAACCAGAGGAAAGTTTCCTCTTTCCTGCGGGGGAATCAGCTTGGGGACTGAAACAGCTATCAACCAGTTTGTGGTTCTATGTGTCCAAAAGACAAGCAGAGGCGAACTTCCTGATCCACACAGGGGTGTGTTTAAACAGCAGACTAGCACAAAATATTCATTTCCAAACAGTAGCAGTTATCTGGCCTTATCAGTTAAAACATTAGTATCCAGTACTGAATGTCAGCTAACACCACATGTTATTCCATTTACTGGGAAAGATAATAAACGTGCTGCTCCACTTCAAGCTCCCTGATTTGCTGAGACTGTTCTTGTTTCAGTTAAGCAATTTGCACATTAACAATCATGTTCGGATTTAACAGACTCTCTGTGGAGAACACAGGCATGTTCCAACGCAGGGACTGTGCGCTGCCCTGTGTGTCACAGCTCATCACATCAGTTGTCTGTTCCTGATGAAGCTTTTCTTCCTGACACACTCCTGATTAAAACCAGATTTTGTCAGCTATAAAGTCCAATTGAAATTTTTTTTTTTAAGTGTCATTGCAAGGATTCCATTATGTTACCTCTGGCATTTACTGTATAAACCTTTAGAGCTATTTTTATTAATAAAAATGTCTGTCCTTGGGCTTAAAAGATTTAGTCATATGAAGATGGGATTCCACAGAGCATTTGCACAATTAATTAATTAATTAATTAATTAAGAGTTCCTGCCATTTTAGCAACCTCAGGCAGAGTAAACTAAAGCAAAGATAGTGAGTGACCTTTAACAAGCCCAGTGACTGGATGCTGCCCAATTTAAATGCACTGGTTCACTACTGGAACTGCTGTGGATGGACATTGCATACACAAAAGCATAAAACGGGTGCATGGAAATCAGACTTAATACCTGAGGGAGCTTCTGAATAGAAGCCAAAGGAGGCTGCGGCCACAGGTTAATCACAGACGTACAGGATATGGAGAGGCAAGACAGCCCAAGGCTGGAGATTTCCATGTTCAGCCGGATTTAGCTTTCGCCAGCTAGGCAGGCATTCACTTCACCCACGCCTCATCTACACTACACTGTCTGGGAGGAAGAGGAAGGCAAGAAAGAGGAAGGATGAGAGGAGCTAAGAGCAGTGTGAGATTTTACCACATGAAATACCCTCCCTCCATACCTTTAAACAACTGCCACTCTCAGAGTGTAAGGTTTCTCTAAATGCACCCAGTAATTACACTGCAGCTAAATGGCAGCTGTATTTCATCAAGAGCCTGGAGTTGGTGTCCTGTGATAAACCTGCATTTGATGTTTGCCTTTTTATTAATATCCACAATCTTTCCTTAATGTTAAACAAAAGTTTTGATGTGTTCCTTAAATAAATTATTATTATTACATAAGTATCAGAATTGTACTTAAGTACAGTACTTCAGTAAATGTAACTTAGTTACTGTCCACCACTGTTTATTAGACTTTCTGTGTCACTAAACACCTGCCTTTCACAGAATACCTGTACTGTATTGTAGTTTACAAGTTACTTAGAGTCAACATTTATTAAAACATGACATAATTTCCTAAGTCTGCTTTCTGAAACAGACTGAATGCTTGCACTGAAATAGATAGATCAGAAATAGGTAGGTAGATCAAACTGCAGCTTATCAGGCTGTGGAGCAGAGCAGCTTAAGGCAGACATGTTGTGACAATAGCTGTCTTTCTCTGTGAAGAACACCCAAGGTACAAGAGTGACAGCTCCTGCCTCGTTCCATAATCTCTCACAGGGGGAGAAAACCCTTGGCCGAGTTCTCATTAATTGGACATCAGTGCCCAGAGTGACAGGTTGGAGGCTCAGTGGAAAATACCTCCCTGCTGCTGTTTTGGCACATTGTAATTGATAAAAAAAGGGATAGGCTTTAGGTAGAGAATGCGAGGGTGTAAAGAATAATGGGCCCTATAATGGTATTATACTTTTCAGCAG